GCTGTTATGGGAACGAGAAAAATATCTTCGGCGGGACTGTGAGTTTCGGAGGCGTTTTGGTTCGTTTTCAAAAAGCACGCGGCACGGGACCCACTTCTCTCACGAGCAAAACGCGCACACCAGCTGGCGCACACAGCAGTTATCACTTTCCACGCCCACGCACATACACACGCCAGACACACGCCANTCAAGATGTCTGCAGCATAGCGAAACCTGGCAGCGTCAAAGTGCATGCAAGAGATCGCGGTTTCTGGTTTCATCAAGCTGATCGAGCACGCCATGAGCACCATGGACGGGCCGCTGCAGATGCCTCACAAGTGGAAGGACATGGTGTACTACACGACCCTTGGTTCAGGTGTGTATCTAATGTGGCTACATCAATTCGNTTATTATCTGAAGAGGGGTGTAGATAATTTTGATCAAGCGGTTGCAGGTGCACCACGTGTGGTGTTCNTTTTGTTTTGAATTTGATGCACATGTTGAACACAGCGTAGCGTAGGCATGCCATGCGAGTGAAAGGACGCACTTGCGGGCCTTTTCTGTCCACCGAATGAGAAATACAGGTGTTGTGGGAGAGGTCGATTGGACCGGAGCTGGCATTTTGGCATGTACGACGCACATATATTATCTGAAGAGGAGTGTAGATAATTNTTCTGTCCACCGAATGAGAAATACAGGTGTTGTGGGAGAGGTCGATTGGACCGGAGCTGGCATTTTGGCATGTACGACGCACATTTATTATCTGAAGAGGGGTGTAGATAATTTTGATCAAGCGGTTGCAGGTGCACCACGTGTGGTGTTCGCGAGTGGCAGTACCAGCGATCCACCTGCCACCTGCTATGTTGAGGATTATGGATAGGTCTAGCCACCTTTTGCAACACGAGTTGGAGTCAGGGTTCGTTTTGCTGGCAACAGCAGTAGTGGTATTCGCGAAACCATTCACCTCCCTCCAACGGTGTCTCCATGCATGCATGTGGTTTATGGTTTGCGGCCGATGCGTGTTAGATGTCTGGGCGTTACTCTCTGAAAAAGGGCAAGTCTGAGCCATGAGTCTCCGGGACGTCTGCGATTTGTTCGTGGGTGGAGACGGAGACAGACACACACCGACGCCACCCGCAGCAGCAACAGCGGGAGATAGTCGCCGCCGCCGCCGCCGCCGCCGCAGCCGCCGCCGCAGCCGCAGCAGCAGCAGCAGCAGCAGCGGAAACAGCACTATTGGTCGACAACACCTCTGCTTGTATAGACATTCCAGCCCCGAACGAATTCGCTGCCATGCCTGAATCAGAGGCAAGAGGGCACACGTTGACGACACGTTCACCACGAGACAAGGTGCTGCTCCGCCTCCAAAAATGCACACAAATAGCGGACTTCCTCTCGCTCCCACATGCGCTGTTGCCGTTTGAAATGTATCGCAGGCACCTCCGAGGCGAAGACCTTCATGGAGAAACCGTCGACCGTCTTGACCAAGTTCAAGAGCTATAAGGCCGAGTCCACGAAAGTGTGGCTTTGGCTTGACACTTAAGTTTTGCGGGCAAGTCGGATTCTCAGCGCAGCGTATTTCAATCTCTCGTGGCGTCGCACACTCCGAAAACCGGGAGACGAAAGCAATGCAACCCTAATTTCGTGTGTGGAAAACAAAATCGACGGTGCTTGACGTGAGGATCTTCGTAAAATCACGAGGGTTCTACATGCCTGTGTTGGTCAAGCATGTGTTTCCGTGCGTGTGTTTGTCGTTAAGTAGTCTACAAAAAACGGGAGGATGAAGACACACACACACTTTCATCGGTCAGCCGGTTAGCGCGGTCGATGCCAAAAACTAAAATACAAACACACACATAGCGACAGAGGCATGGACAAGGAAGGAGGGAGACACACCACCGGGAGAGCGAGACGGGAGGGTGTGCCCTGTGCTACTGCTGTTGGCTATCGGTGGAGTAAGCGAGAGAAGAGAGAAGAGAAGAAGCGTTTGGTTGTTGTGCGTCGTTGTTGTTGCGCGCTTTTTGCCAGCAGCGTTTTTTTTTTCGCGCGAATCAGCGAGAGAGGCCCTTTTTGGAAGAGAGAGCCACACCAACAAGCTACATGCACTGCTGTGCACCTCTCTATACTTTTGTGCGACGGCCTACTGCTGTGGTGTGTCACCTGTGCCTTCCCTGCTAGTCTGGTCACTTATCACACGCGTGCCGTTGAGTTGCCAATTCAAAAACAGGAAAGAAACGTTTGGATAAAGGGCACATATCTTTTTACTGCTAGATGTTTGCCACCCCCCGCAGGACTCGAAACGCACCAGCCTACTGCAGGTATTTAGCTTGTACTTCCCACCCTCTAGTTTTGCCCTGCGCAAAATGAATGACATGACGTAGTTGGGCGTGCCTCGTCGTAAACAAAAAATAACGAAGCCGGGATAGCAGCAACACTAAAGGTTGAAAACTTGTTGCTACGCGTTGTCGAAAACACTGCTGTATATTACGCAACCGCTCACCGCGAATCCGTTTTGTTCCCCGTGCGTTTTTTTTTTGTCAGGAACGACAAGAACACACCGTCTGAGCTGCCGTCTGGGACCAACACTCAGGACTCCCTAGAGGAGCTCAACGACGCCATGTGGTTCGAGTCGGACATGTGCAAGCGGGACAAGGCTAGATCGGACAAGGCAGACGCTAAGGTTGCGGCTTTCCTCTCTCGGGGGGCGGCGGGGAGCGTCGACGCCGCCGGCTCCCCAGCCGGCTCCCCAGCCGGCTCCCCCGCTACCGGGGCGGGCGCCGGGGAGAGCGTTGACAGAACAGGCAGTCCACCTGCAGGTCAGGGACCGGCGGCGCAAGCGGCGTTGGCTGAGACNCAACCGCTCACCGCGAATCCGTTTTGTTCCCCGTGCGTTTTTTTTTTGTCAGGAACGACAAGAACACACCGTCTGAGCTGCCGTCTGGGACCAACACTCAGGACTCCCTAGAGGAGCTCAACGACGCCATGTGGTTCGAGTCGGACATGTACAAGCGGGACAAGGCTAGATCGGACAAGGCAGACGCTGAGGTTGCGGCTTTCCTCTCTCGGGGGGCGGCGGGGAGCGTCGACGCCGCCGGCTCCCCAGCCTGCTCCCCAGCCGGCTCCCCAGCCGGCTCTACAGCCGGCTCCCCCGCTACCGGGGCCGGCGCCGGGGAGAGCGTTGAAAGAGCAGGGAGTCCACCTGCAGGTCAGGGACCGGCGGCGCAAGCGGCGTTGGCTGAGACGGAGGTCCGCCAGGAACCGGGAAATACGCCGATGTCGTTGGCCGCCGCCGCCGCCGCCAAAATCCGCCGGGAGCAGGAGCGAGAGCAGGATAAGGGCGTGGACGAGGGCGAGCACGGGGGCGAGGAGGTGCCTGAGTGGTGGGTCATTCCCTTCCTGCTTCTCACAGCGGCGTACAGCCCGTGGAGCGGTCAGGCCNGCAAGCGGGACAAGGCTAGATCGGACAAGGCAGACGCTAAGGTTGCGGCTTTCCTCTCTCGGGGGGCGGCGGGGAGCGTCGACGCCGCCGGCTCCCCAGCCTGCTCCCCAGCCGGCTCCCCAGCCGGCTCTACAGCCGGCTCCCCCGCTACCGGGGCCGGCGCCGGGGAGAGCGTTGAAAGAGCAGGGAGTCCACCTGCAGGTCAGGGACCGGCGGCGCAAGCGGCGTTGGCTGAGACGGAGGTCCGCCAGGAACCGGGAAATACGCCGATGTCGTTGGCCGCCGCCGCCGCCGCCAAAATCCGCCGGGAGCAGGAGCGAGAGCAGGATAAGGGCGGGGACGAGGGCGAGCACGAGGGCGTGGAGGTGCCTGAGTGGTGGGTGTTTCCCTTCCTGCTTCTCACAGCGGCGTACAGCCCGTGGAGCGGTCAGGCCCCGTCGGAGTGGAAGCACCTCGACTCTTCGGACGGGCCGTCTATAAAGCGGAAGGGCGGGGACGTCACCGTGGACTCTGAAAACCCCGTGTGCAGCCCCGCGGTGATGTCTCGCCTCAACCCCAACGGCGACGCTTTGAGCCGAAGGAGCAGGAGAGGAAAGCAGCGGCCGACAAGGAACTTCAAGAAGCCCGGAAGGAAGCCCTTGAGACGAAGAAGGGCCTTGCCGCCTTAGAGGCTGCGAACAGACACATCGAGACCATAGGCGCGAACATGAAGAGGATGGTCGAGCTCAAGCNTGCCAACACTTTGCCGCAATCAAGCGAGAGAAGGAGCAGGAGAGGAAAGCAGCGGCCGACAAGGGACTTCAAGAAGCCCGGAAGGAAGCCCTTGAGACGAAGAAGGGCCTTGCCGCCTTAGAGGCTGCGAACAGACACATCGAGACCATAGGCGCGAACATGAAGAGGATGGTCGAGCTCAAGGAAGCGGAGCTGTGGGCATCAAGTGTGAGAACAAATCAAGGCTCTCGAGAAAAAAATTATTCTGCGTCTGTGGGACAAGACAGAGAATCGGGCGGAGCTCGAGTTGTTGCTAAACGAGTTTTAGTCATCCCTTTACGGTTGTCTTGCGTGTTGGCATGTGATCGTTGTTCAAAGAAAGGCGGTTGTGTGTTCATATCTCGGTGTTTTTTTGAAACAAAAGGCGCAATAGATACCAACTCTTTCGCACGTGACCAACATGCAGGGAGGGGGGAAGGGTGGGAGGGGGTTCTTAACACCATGTCTATTAAGAATAGAGGACTTTTACCGTCGTTTTACCAGGTCGCTCATGTGTTTATCTTCCAGTTTGAAAGTTTGATCTGAATGCATAAACACGGCACTGACTTGTTGTGGGGGAGGTACCGCTTATGGGCATGGAACTGCCAGGGAGGAGACAACATGGGTCCAAGGTTTGAGAGGATCAACCGAGTCGAAAGGCCGAGTGTGAGAGGGGGGTGCATCGTGACATGTAAAAGCTGGCCGGGAGATGCACTTGTTTGAGAGGGGGCATGGCCTTTTCGAGGTTGTGCATACGCAGCAGTATTTGCATAATTACNGGCCGGGAGATGCACTTTTTTGAGAGGGGGCATGGCCTTTTCGAGGTTGTGCATACGATGCAGTATTTGCATAATTACTACTGGAATGGCAAGTGTTGTGCTACTGATTCGAAGGGCGAAGGCGTCTTGTCTGGTGGTTCACACGTAGGTCTACCATTTGGGAACATGAGCCGCGTACGTGATTGTGGTTGCTAAGATTTGGGTCTGGGAAGCTTCGACGTCTACCAAAGGTGAGGTAGCAACGACGTGGTATTCGCGCTGTATCTGTGATACTGGCAGAAAAAAACATTTTTCTCGAAAAACACGTGCAGTGGGGCCGATATATCGGCCGCTCGAGCGATGTCATAATTTACGGTGAATCACATATGGTCCGTGCACAAGTAAAAATCCCAAAATTTCCCAGCACAAATGACAACTTTTCTCTGCACACAGGTGGTTGTTCGGAATTCTGAAAATACCGGAAAACGCCCTGTTTACAGGCGCATCGCGTGACGGAGAGTTTTTGTTTGTTTTTTTTTTCCTTGACTTTTTATCTCCGATAAACCTGAAAATCTTGTTTTGTTTTTCGAGAGGTGTGTTGTTTGTTGATGCCACCAAACTCAACGGTTTTGGACAGATCTCGGAATTTGCCAGGTGGTATTTTTTTTTTTTTTGAAATATTCGAAATTGACGGAGATATACAGGGAAAACTTGATTTAAAGGGTCAACTTGTTTTGTTTTATATGCAATAACTCACCGACCGATTTCAAAATAGAGTGCGGCAAACAATTCCNCAGGGTCAACTTGTTTTGTTTTATATGCAATAACTCACCGACCGATTTCAAAATAGAGTGCGGCAAACAATTCCTCTCGACCATCCCCAGGTGGTAATTTCTTGGTTTTGCTGGGAAAAATCTGGTTCTCGAGATATTCGCGTTGTTGTTGTTCCGCGCCATGCGGTGACTTTTTTTTT